GTTGTATTTTGGAGGATCAGTTATGTCAGAAGAGTTTATTAATTAATGGAAATATATTCTGAGGTTTATTATTAGATTATCATTTTAGTTTCTTGTCAGTATTTTATTTATTTTTCTTTATTCTTTTGTATTCTGTGTTCGTTTATTATCAATTTGTTTTGATATCCTCGGGTATTCGGGCGTGGGCCTGGCCAACCCGTATTCGGAAATCCGGAGGTATTACACTCACCAAAATGGCTCTGTTTGTTTCTCACAACCTCTCTCTGTTCCAGTCTGTTTTCTCTCTATCAACTGTACTTGTATAGGGTTCTAAACCCTTTTGATAGTATAACAGTGTATATATATATAAGCACCAGGGAACCCTAAATCCTAACCTCCGATGGAAAACCTAATTAACCCTACAATTTAATACACTAATAATATAAACCTAATTAACTCATTTAATTAAAATAACAAAGCGTTTAAACAATTAAAAACGAATTTAATTCAATTAAAGAAAATAAAACTACAATTAAACATTTAATTAAAACAAATCATTTAAATAAAACAATTAATTAAAACAAACCACAAATCAAATTAAAATCTGACACCTAAGCACGTATCCACAAAATCAAATTAAAATTGCACATAAAATAAAATTTAAATTCCAATCGTATCCTTTGGAAAACTAAGGGTATTACAGAATGTTCTAACCAATACCTACAACCGGCCTTCTCACGGTCACATCAAGTAGATCAAGGAACAAATCAAGCAAGCCAATAAGGGCTCCCAGACGATTTCTGATTATATACAGTTTATTAAAACTCATGCTGATGAACTTGCGGCCCTTAGCAAACCTATGGACAATAAGGACCTCATTAAGAAAATTCTCGATGGCCTTGATGATGATTACAAGCCTATTGTTAACGTCATTAATGGCCGTGACACGCCGATTTCCTTTGATGAATTGCATGAAAAATTAATGAATAAAGAACTCTCGCTGCGTCTGTATCATTCCAACTCTTCTCCACTTCCAGTTTCTACAAATCCTGTTAATTCCAGGGTCAATTCGGGAAATTTTGGCAACCGTACTCAACGTCCACAGTGGGCGCCCTCCTTCCCCCCTTCGACGAGTGCTCATACCTCGGGCTCTTCCAATACTGTAAACCAGAATGGTCGTCCCCCTCCTCGGCCCTACCTGGGTCATTGCCAGTGGTGCCGTGTTTAGGGTCACACTGTTCTACAGTGTCCCGTGTTTCGTAAGATGCAGCCGACCTTACCACCACCTCCGGCTTCTCATCAAACTTCTCTATGGCAACCACGCCCTCCGGCTTCATGGCAACCACGCCCTTTGGCTCCATGGTAACCACAAGCCAATCTTGCAATTGTCAACACTCCTAATAATTCTTGGTCAATTAACTTATTTTCTTGGAGTTGAAGTCATTCCCCATTCTCAAGGCTTCCTTCTATTTCAACGTCGGTACATAACGGATCTACTAGCCCGCACATGCATGAAAGATGGAAAGTTTGTAGCTACACCTCTTGCCAATGCTTCTATCCTTACACTTCACTCTAGCACGGCGCTCTCCGATCCCTCTAAGTATCGGACTATTGTTGGAAGTCTCCAGTACTTGTCATTTACGTGCCTTGACGTTGCTTATACGTTGAATAAACTGTTTCAGTTTATGCATCAACTTACTAGTGACCATTGGAATGCTGTTAAGCGATTACTGCGCTATCTTTGTGGGACTTTGGATCATGGTGTTGTCCTCTATAGACACTTCTCCTTATCTCTCCATGCATTTTCTGATGCCGATTGGGCAGGTAACAAAGATGATTTCACTTCCACTAGTGCCTATCTTGTGTACCTTGGTCGCAATCCTATTTCTTGGAGTTCCAAGAAGCAACGTACCATGGCTCTCTCTTCTACTGAAGCTGAATATCGCTCCATTGCAACTACTACTGTTGAGCTCCGTTGGCTCTACTCTCTTCTTACTGAACTTGGTGTTTCTCTCTCTCGCAACCAGTGATCTATTGTGATAATGTTGGTGCTACGAATTTGTGCTCAAATCCGGTTTTTCATTCCCGCATGAAGCATGTTGCTTTAGATTATCACTTCATCCGTGAACAAGTCCAAAGTGGCGCTCTTCGGGTGGCTCATGTCTCCTCTACTGATCAGTTAGCTGATGCTTTCACTAAACCGCTTCCACGTACTCGATTTTTATTATTGAAGACCAAGATTGGACTCTCCTCTTGGAGCTCTATCTTGTAGGGCCATGATAGAGAAAATCGATAATCTCGAATTCTTAGGATTTCTTAGTTTGATTGTTATTTAGTTTCCTTATTGTAAAATTTGACTTACTTAGAATAGGTATTATCCTAATTGTTATTTAGTTTTCTTATTGTAAATTTGACTTACTTAGAATAGGCAGTATTCTGATTTTTATTTACTTTCCTTAGTGGTAATTTGACTTACTTAGAATAGGTAGTATTCTGATTATTATTTAGTTTCCTTGGTGTAAATTTGACTTACTTAGAATATGATTTCAGTTATACGCTATATGTATATGATTTTACTCAATGAAAAAGCGATGCCATAATTTTCTCATTCTTTAAACCTTTTATTGCTCTCTTTTTACTTCAAGAACTTCTCTCTCTAATTTATTCATTAAGAAGAATGGATTGTTACTGGATCACATATATGTATATATCATTGAAGGCTTACAAGGTCCTTGAGTGAAAGTGTTACAAACCTGATCGATTGCCAAAATTGAAAACCCACATCACCGGAAGTGGGAAATAACAGATGCTCAAAATAAAAGATGACAATAAATGCCTCTGCATGTTTGTGTAGGTATATATATGAATTTTCAGATATATGTATATATGCATATACATATATCTCTCTATAAATATTTGTATAAAATCAAAACCCTAAATTTTTAAGGTTAATAAAGTTGTCTGAATTCGACAGATAGCTATATATATATGTGTGTGTGTGTGATTGTCCTGTGTGTATTTATATATATGTGTGTGTGTGTGTGTGTGTGTATACATGTAATAGGAAAGAAAGTGAAGGAGTCCTGACTAGTAGGGGTGAGCAAATAATCCGTCAATTTGGTCCGAATCAATCTGATCCGTGTCGTTTTAGTTCGGTTTTCAAATCTCATAGTTCGGTGATGGTTTAGAAAAATAGTAATCCGCTATTCGCGATTCGGTTAAAGAATTGGGTCTGAAAAAATTGATCTGATCCGTTAACCAAACCGATCCAATCCGTTACCTTAATTATATATTAATATATTATTTATATATATATACAATATACTTATTGTATTTATATTTTTTTTATTCATTATTTAAGACTTTTCAATTTTGGATGATTTACAACTCTCTTTTGATATTAGGTAATTTAAATTTATGGTGATATATGTTAAAAAGTTAGTTACATGTTTTTAATTATTAATTTGAGATTTTAATGAGCCATAAAATGTAATCATATTTGGCTATTTGAAAAGCCCAATCCATAGAAATCGAACCGATCCGATCCGTTATTTCACGGTTCGATTTAGTTCGAATTTAAGGTCCACATGGATCGGTTCGGTTTCATATTTCACCAATTCGTGGGGACCGGATTGAATTAAACTTTACCCCCCAAATCGAACCGATTCCAATCGTGATCAACCCTACCAACTAGAGTGTTTTTCGAAAGGGGCAAAACCATAACTTTAACAATACACAACTTTTTTAGATTTTTTCATTAAACAAATAGTTTAACGACAAAAATATAAATTCATACCAATCCACTAACCACAAACAGTTAATTTGGGCTTTTCTGTTATATTGTGGCATCTTCTATATACATGCATAAGATGAAAATTAAGTTGAGAGGTACTTTGTGTAATTTGACACACACATATATGGCAGTGTATATTTATATCATTTAAGAGTAATTATGTCATTTAAGGCTTCAATTTTTTTTATTAAAAAATTAATTAAATGCTGAACGGCAATCTCATCTTTTACCAACTTTTTTGGAACTGTTTGGCTTAATTTTTTTTTATAAGGGGTGTCACTATCTAAAAAATAAGTAACTTGTATATGTATGTCATTTTGACAAATTTCATAAGAATATTGCTGTACTTTATTCTAAAAATTATAAATAAATTAAAGTTTTATAATAATAGATGTATAATAATATTTAGGAAAAGATATATAATAATAAAAATTTATATTATTATATGGCGGTGTTCATATTGTATCCATATCCTATTTCTTTAAAATTTGACGTCTCAATTATACTCTATTTCGTATTTATATTCGTATTCGCGTCCGTGCATAGATTTTAAGCGTGAAGCTAGTTGGAGTCTTGTGAAAAAAATCCAAAACCATAAGCACTGTTACATAACATGAGGCCCCACTCTTTAACGCAAAGTCAGAGTTGTACATGTAAGATATCAAGACTTTATTTATTTTATTTTATTTTATTTTTCTTTCTAGAGGCAGTCGAGACTCAACTATGAAGGAAGTCTTGTGAAAAAGCCAAAATCGAGACTTAACTAATTTAAGTCTTTTGCAAAAAGCCAAAATCATAAGCATTGTTATATACCATGAGGCCCCACTCTTTAACGCATAGTCAGTGTTTACATGTAATGATGGCAGTTCAAGAATTTTTTTTTATTTTTTATAAGGCAGTCGAGACTTAACTATGAAGGAAGTCGAAATAAACTCCTGTTTATAACTTCTGACAAAAAAAAAAAAAAAAATCGTCAAATATAATAGCTTTCGAATGCACAGGAGAATGAAAATAAGACTCAAATAATCTCTTAAAAAATGTTTCATATTTTGAAATTGTTAAAAATATCGTCAAATATAATAACTTTCGAATGCTCTCTCAAATTATAGAAGAATTATCTTATCAAAATATAATATTTTGAATTAAATACACCATTAAAATATAATTATAAAAATATAATATTTTTATATTATATTTCCTCTCTAAATATAAATTTGGAGTTAATATAAGATTTACACAAACCGCGTCATTGGTTTGGAAAAAGAAAAAGATAAAGTAAGAAAATGGTACAATGTTCTCTGAATCAACTAATAATAGAATCAGTCCTCCTTCCTCTCATCTTCCTTCTCTCTCTCTAGTTCATTACCACTTTAGTTCCTTCTCTGTTTGCATATATATATCTCTATACATACACACACACACATATTTATACCTATAATTTGTCCATATAGCTTTATCAGGCCCGCGATGGATCACCGGAATCGGTTGAATCAGCAATATCCGAACGCGATGAACGGCAAACAACTGGTGGATCGTCCGAATAGGCCATCTCCGCAGCCGGAGGCGGGTATTTGGGGCTGGCTGGCGGCGGGTATTGGGAACATGTTGGTGGTGGGTATTAAGAACATTGTCCAGGTATACCTCCCGCCGTCACCACCGCCGGCGCCAGCGGTTGCCATACAGATAAATGTTAATAACGATCGCGTGGTGAAGGTCCCACGGGGGAGGGGGAATGACGGAGGCCGTGGTGTTCAAAACAATAGGGCTAAGGTAAGGTGTGAGGTAGTATGTGTCGTATTTGCATTGTTTTTAACATCTCTAAAGAATGTCTTTGTTCGTTTTTTACATGTTCATCTTTTTACAGGTGACTTAATTGAGGCAGTGATCCTGCTTTAAACTGGACTTGATTATATTTTTGTTGTGTTGCCAAAGGAAATCACTTAATAGCTAGATTTGTGTTAGAGAAGTTTGTTTCACATCAGATCAGGATTAAAAAGGGATTGGGATATATGTTTGGGTGGCCGAGTATGCAGTACTACTAGCTACCTAACAACTTAAGTTTTTGGATTAAAAGTTAACATCTGCCCTCCTTGCAAAATGTTGTGAATAATGTGTGTTTGCTTTTAACTTTAAAATAATTAGACAAGTAGCTCCAAATTCCAATTCTTTTGTAATTTCATTGTTTCAGCAAAAGTCAGAGAAGCCTCAAGAACAAAAGGATGAGGTAGTTTATTCTATGATATTGAAGATGATGAACTAATGTCGAGGAACATGAACTAGACTAAAAAAAAAAATGCACAGGTGAGAATTGAATGATGAGTTGATTGAAGAGTAATTGTTAATTTTCTTTTGTGACAGCTCGAAATTTGTGTTAGACATGAGAAGTTTAAGATCTGTTCTTCTTCCATACCCTGTATTTTTACTTTATTTTCCTCTGATTTACAATTGAAACAACAGGTGGTTGAATTTTCATTTGTAAATGAGTGATTTATTTATGCACTTCATATATCTTAATTAAGCTAAGTTTGGTTGCAACTTGTTTGTAAATTAGTCACATACTCTTCAGGCAAGTCAGAGCTCAACGACAACCTTGAAACAAAGTGGACAGGGCAATTCAAGCTCTATGACAACCTCAAAGAAAAGTAGCACAAGACAGGTAATTTCACATGCCCTAATCTGGAGTATTTAAAATTGGATTAAATCAATTAACTCGCAAGAAACAAATGTGATCACAGATTGGAAAGGGCAAGGACAATAGAAAGGGTAATACCGCTAAGTAGTGGTGCTGGAAGGGCATTTGTTAGAGGCAGAGGTAGGGGGACATTACTTGGAGCTGGAGGTTGAGACATGCAATCACATTGTGGAAGCAACACTCAATTTAAGCCAATGTATCAAGTATTTTGGTATGTACTGTGTGGTATTTGTAGTGATGATGGTTTGAACGTTGCAATTGTTTTGTCTAAACAATAAACCTGTGTTGTCTTAATACAAGTACTGTTTGTATCCGATTGTCTTTCGACTATTATGTGATCAAAATTCTCTTTTGTTCAATCAGTGACTACAAGCTAAACATGGCTATTATATTTTCATGGGAGGCACTTGATCTTGTTCCAAAAGATGTACTTTACATCCACCGAAGAAAGAAGAAGAGCTAACACAACTATAGTAAAACATGTGAGATATATATTCTGTAATTGGCTGTGTCAAAATAAGTCCGATCAAGATCGGTTGCAGAATTAAACAGATGTTCATGTTTGATAGATTGAGGAATACGAAAAAAGTATAAACAACACTTTAAGAAGTTGAGTTAGAAGATTATGACACTTTTATACATGGTATGCTTTTCAAAATTTCCAAAATCAAAATTTTTTTAGTGTTTAATCCTTCTGTTCAAGTCTGACCAATTTGAACTGATTCTATGTAGCTGAATCGGTTCAATATTCATACTTCGAATTAAATTAATTCAACACTATCCAACTTGAACCGGTTCAAGGACTCTGAACCGGTTCAAGCTCTTCTGCAGATTTTGATAATTTAATTTCCTATTCTGTTTAAACTTCATATTTGATATAGATTTTTTTCCAAAAAACTTATGCACGAAATTAACTTCTTTTCAAAGCATATTTAGGTTTTTGAAAGTCTATATAAACATATTTTCCCATCTATGTTTGAGTTGCTTTTTGCATTAAAACTTGTGATTTATCTTAATTTTTTTTCCTATCCCCCAAATAATTCAATCCAAACTAACCCTGAAAGTGTTTTTAGTCTTTCAAAATGTGTGATATTTTACGATTAAATATTAATCTTTCTTGTGAAACACTATATATATATATACATATAAGAATAAATTAAATTGACAATCTTTCATATTAAGTCAAATTTCACATATGAACATTTTGATTTTAATTTTCGTTTGGATCCTATGTCAGATTTTCATTTTAAAAGAGGTGTAAAATGTCATTTATACCTTCACTTATATAATATATTTTAAGATTAATTTCATGACACCATTAAAAATGTGCAAAAAGACAAATTTACCCTTACTTTTTTAAATTAATGCTAAAATATCAACAAAATTAAAAAGACAAAATTACCTATTATTAGTTTCTGTCTCTAATATATATATATATATATATAGCCTCAGAAGAAGATGACAGAATCACCATATGTATCATCTTGTGGAAGGGTCTCACCAAGAGAGATAATAACTGGGGCAAAAGATCTATGAATTATACCGTGCTTGACTATCCAATCAGACATAAGACCCTGGATAGCTAATTGATTGAAAATTACATTTTAGAAGGAATTTGATCCTTTGTCCACTTAGTAATGGAGGGGAGGAATCACCTCCTGGGCCTGGGTAAGTAGCTAGCTCTATGTATCATGTAGCACGGAAGTGTATTATAGTATCTCTTAATTTAAAGGCTTCAAATATCACGATATTGGAAAATCCAAAAAAAAAAAATATCACGATATAGGCCGTCCAGCAACGATGAGCAAATCAAACGACGACCATGAGCAAACTACTCCGGTGACGACAAGCGACCACTCCAAAGATGACGAAAACCAGCAACGATTCCAACAAGGTTTTATTTGAAATAACCATTCCCACAAACAAACCCAAATCAACATCGACACCGTCAGAACCACAGTCGATAGGGCCACCATCACCACCCCCCACACCGGCGCCGCTGCCACCACCATGGCACCATCCCCAACCCCCACAGTCGGCAGCCAAAATCTCTCTCTCCCTCTAAACCACATACAACCATCACTGGGAGCACCACCATCCCCATCTTGCCACCACCAGCAGCGGTGCCGCCACCACTATCCCCACTCCAACAAAATTACCACTACCACAATAAATATTCCAAATAATGAACCACCACAACTGAATCACAACTATCCACAACCTCTCCTCTAGCCGCAATTCTCGTCACCTCCACCAACAACGTGGTCTGGGCGTGGCGGTGGCTTGTTTCCATATTGCAGACAATGTGAAAGGAAGCTAGAGAGATTACCGTGAGATGAGCTTCTGTGGTTAGGTTTTCAAAATTACATAAATGTCTAGCGATTTTATGAGTAGGCAGATTTTAGTGAGAGTATTTTTGTATGACAGCATTCCTCACATATATATATACACGTAAAATTATAAATTTGTAAAATATTTAGGGATAGTTTAATCTTTTAATTTAATTCTTTAGTTCTAAGAATTTATTTGATAAAGTCAAAGAATATTTAAATTATTTTACATTATGCCAGGGCTATTTAGTTGACAACTGGAATATAAGTGAAAGACATTTATAATATGAGTGAGTTAGTAAAATTAATCTTATATTTTATTAATAATATTAAATTTTTTAAAAGACAAAAATGCCCTTAATTATTTCTAACACAACATCTCTCTTATTTCTTTCATCCCCAATTCAATCTCCATTGTCTTCTCCATTGTCTTCGCCTCTCAATCTCCATTTGTGCCGTAGCCACCACCACCATACCACCAACTTGTAAAACATCCAAACTGGGGTGAAACAACATAGCGACACCACCACCTCGAGAACCGAGAGGTTTCTCTCTCAATCGGTCCTCAAAAGCTGCAACAGTCTCACCTACATCTTTCTCTTGTAGTTCTTGTGGTATTGCCTCACATCGGGAATGAATCGTCCGTTTGTTCATCATGAAGATCGAGCTCAATGGAATGTCCTTGTACAACTTCGATTTCGCCTCCAGCTTACCATTCGTGAACACCAACCACCACCACCCATATATATATATAGGTTTACATATACATACATAAATACATAAATGTATATATATTGTAATTGTAGAAGAATGAGAAAGAATTTAAGCACCATCGTGCTTCACCACCACCGTGAATTATTGTTTTTCACTAATCAGGGATAACATGAATGATTGCTCACCTCAATCAGGAATAGCAGGTCTCCTTCCCTAATCAGTCCAAGTCACCCGACCCACAACCTTGGACTGATTAGTGAAGAAGCCAGGTGTGGGGTTCTTCACCTTCGGTGAAGGATAAACTGGATTGTGACTCCGAGAAGTCCTCTGTTTTATTGTTCTTGTTTTGAATCTGAATTAGTAACTCTTTATTTTACACATTCTCTAGAAAAATGTGGAGCGTAATGGGGTTTTTGTAAATGTTCCAGCATGTATTACAAGTAATGGTAGTCAGTGCACGTGCCCTAGACAAAAGAGGTGATCTCTTCCAAGGTATACAAGTTTCAATCTCTCAAATGTTGAGAACTCCGTATATTTATTATTGATTGATGTTGCATTGAATTTTCTAACTACTTCATAGGTTTGAAGTGAGCAGTGAGAACTTAATAGTAATTTTGAAAATTTAATTTTCAATGTCCACTTAAGCCAACAAATATTGTGGCTAATTATTACATGGCTGGTCTCACAGTTAAAGAAGAGGATTTTGAAGCCATCCGTTTGAGTATACGAGTGAGTTTGCTTTGTTGAACCGACTAATCTTTCTCACTAATTTTAGAGACCTAAAAGGTATTCATGAAACTTGTTATTTAATATTTCGATTTGTATTGGTATACATGTATATGTGCGTGAATATCTCTCTTTATGCATGTGCTTAAATTTTAACTACCTTTGGCGATGCTTTTTGGGCGGTGCCTTTGGTGGTGGTGGTGGCCGGGGTGGGAATTCAGGGATTTGCTAGAGAGAGGAAAGTGGGAAGTAGTTTTACACATGCATTAGTGGTGGACCCATCAAAGTTGTATTTGGCAGCTCTCAATTTAACTTTGTCCCGCTACTTGGTAACAAGATCCAATTATATGACAAAGCACAAACGCCTTCATTGGTTTGGAAAAAGGAAAAGAGAAAGTAAAGAAAATAAACAGTATTCTGATATAATTGCAACGGTCATCTCTATTCAACTAATAATAGGAGTAATAATCAGTCTTTCTTCTTATCTTCATTCTCTCTCTCTCTCTCTAGTGCATTACCACATCAGTTCTTCTCTCTTTGCATATATATATATATATACACACACACACACACATATATTGATAACGTTATCAGGCCGGCGATGGATTATGGCAATTGGCTGAATCAGCAGCGTCCGAACGGCAGGCAGGCGGTGGGTGATTATGACATGCTGGCGGCGGGTCTTGGGAACGAGTTGGTGGCGGGTGTTATGAACGTTTTCCAGGTATACCTCCAGCCGCCGCCGACGCCACCACCACCACCACCGCAGGCGGTTGGCATAGAGAGAAATGTTAGAAAGGATCGCGTGGTGAAGGCGCCACGCGGGAAGGGGAAGGCTGGAGGCCATGTTGTTCAAAACAATAGGGCGAAGGTAAGGTGTGTGTGTGGTAGTATGTGTTTGTATTTGTGTTGTTTCTTTGAACATCTCTGAAGATTGATCTAAATAAGTGCACGAGGTACCTATCCAAATTTGTGTTCTTGGGGGGATTTCTTTAGGGATTGTTACATATTAATGGTGTTAATGTCAAATATTTATCATTTGATAGAGTCAAAGTCATAATTTTGAAAAGATGAGGACATGATAAAATACTATTTATCCTTATTGAAATACCACTTTTGAACGTATATGTATTACTTTTTGTGCACGTAGATATCACTTTTTGTGTTGAACAAAAAAGTAGTACTTGATGCGTAAAAAGTGGGTCTCTATATCCAAAACAAAAATAGTATCTGATATATAAAAAGTTATATCTCTATGCACTTTGTGGTAACTCAATGAGGGTAAAGTTATATCTCTATGCACTTTGTGGTACTTCATTAAATAATAAATATATGTTATTAACACTATTTTTTGTAATAATCCTATTTTTTTTTTTTTTTTTACATGTTCATGTTTTTTTATATATAGGTAAATTAATTGAGACAGTGATCGATTGTGCTTTAAAGTACAGGACTTGATTCTGTTTTTTTTGTGATGCTGAAGGAAATCACTTGATAGTTGGCGTTTGTGTTAAGAGGGATCTTGTACATCAGATCGGAATTTAAAAAGGGGGCTTGGGCGCGAGTAGCCGAGTATGTATTCGTACAACTCTATAAGTTTTGGGGTTAAAGGGCAAACCTCTGCGCCACCTTACAACATGTTTGTTTTAACTTTATAATAATTAGACAAGTAGCTCCAATTCTTTTGCATAGTTTCACCATAATTCAGAGAAGCCTTGAGAACAAAAGGATTAATAACTGAGGTAGTTTTTTTTCTATGATATTGAAGAAGATGATGAACTAATGTTGAGGAAGATGAATTAGACTTTAAAAAATGCATGCCTTTCCGGTACATGTGAGAATTGGATGATGGGTTAATTGAAGAATAATTTTTAATTTCTTTTTCTGTTTTTTACAGAAGGAAATGTGTGGTTTTCTTGAGGAATTTAAGATTGAAAAGGGCAAGGGTAAGGGCAAAGACAAGGGCCAAAGTTCTCATCATCTCATACAAGAGGTAGTTGAATTTTCATTTCTAAATGAGTAATGCTTTATTTATATATGCAGTTCTTATAATCCTAATTAAGCTAATTTCGGTTGCAACTTGTTTGTAAATCAGTCATATACTCATCATGTATGTCATAGCTCAACGAAAACCACAAAACAGAGGGTTACTACAAGCTCCATGACAGCCTCAAAGAAAAGTACCACCAGACAGGTAATTTCACATGCCCTAACCTGGAGTATTTGTCAAATTGGATTAAGTCAAATAATTCACAAGAGGTAAATGTGATCACAGATTGAAAAGGGCAAGTGCATGTGCAAGTGCAAGTGCAATACAAGCATGAGGGTTACTACAAGCTCTATGAAAATCTCAAAGAAAACTAGCACAAGAGAGGTAAATTTCACATGCCCTAACCTGGAGAATTTTTCAAATTGGATTAAATCAATTAACTCACTAGAGGTAAATGCGATCACAGATTCAAAAGGGCAAGGGCAAAGACAGTGGCAATAGAAAGGGTAGAAAAAATTATTAAATAATGGTGCTGGAAGGGGATTTGTTAGAGGCAGAGACATGCAATCACATGGTGGAAGCAACACTCAATTTGAGTATTTTGCTATGTACTCGCTACTATTTTTGTACTGATGATGGTTTGAACATTGCAATTGTTTTGTCTAAACAATGAGCCTCTCTGTTGTGTTAATATAAGTACTGTTTGGGTTCACTGATTGTCTTTTGACTACTATGTGATCAAAATTCTCTTTTGTCCCATCACTCACACAATACCAAAAACAATTAGCATTAAAACACTTTATCTTGTGACAGCAAGCTAAACGTAGCTATTACATTTTCATGGAGGCACTTAATCTTGTTCCAAAACATGTACTTCCCATTTCAAAATAAACTTGCATTAAACATATTTGTTGAGGTGCTGTAGATGTTGTGGAAGGCAAGACTATATATATATAATTATATAGCTACTGGCTTATACCATTTCCATAGATTGCATCTTCTAGTTGGGCAAACATAATAGAGTTTGATTAAATCGTCTTCCCTTATCCGCATATCTTGTCTTTTTACCCGAGATCCATATTGTCACCCTCCTCCGTGCTTGAAGACTCCATGCTCAATTAAAAGGAAGTTATACCCTCCATTAATAAACCCTAATATTGTCTATATTCAAGACAGAAGTGGTATATATTTGCGCAAAAGTGGTACCTCTATATCTAAGACAAAAGTGGTACCTTAAATAGTAAGGATAGTTTGAGCAAATGAATTGTGTTTCTTCATATCCACGCGAGCATTTTGGTCAGCTTTATTTTGTTTTTTTTTTAACATTATAACTTTGACTCCCTCAAATAGTAAATATGGATCCATAAGTCCATGTATTCTTAATAATCCTTTTCTCTTTCTGTATTAATAGCCCACCCCAACAATGTCAGGCCTTCAAAGTTATTTGATTGATTACCATTATTACTTGCTAAAGGACATATTACATACTCTAATATGTCCCAAACCAAGCCCATTCTTTTTGGATGAGACAAGACCAATTCCTTCTCCACGCAATCTTCGCATCACTATCTAAACATGTCATGCCCTTGGTTGCTATCCAAAACATCACATGAAGCTTGGAACAAGTTGGCCAAATTTTATGCCAATCGCTCTCACTCGAGAGTAATACATCTTAAGGAATGTATCACCCTAATGACTTGTGGCACCCAATCTGTCTCTGTGTATCTGCAAACCTTGAAGGGAATTGCTGATGAACTCACTCTGATTGATGCTCCACTCAGTGAAGATGATCTTATTATTCATGCTATTAATGGACTAGGAGCCAAATTTAAGGAGATCGCTACAGCGATCCGTGCCCGCGACAGTATCATTAGCTTTGAAGAGCTTTATGACAAGCTCGTTGTTTACGAAGAAGCTCTCAAGAGAGACGAAAAACTTCAAGAACTCGCTCCAATAACAACCAATACACTCAACATAATTTTCAAAATGGCAATACTCAAAATCGAACCAGCAGAAACTCTTCCAACTCTAATTGTGGTAGATCTTCTTATTTCAATGGCAATAATAATCACGGCAGATTTTCAAAACTCAATGGCAACAATAATCATGGGTGATGTTCCAATTTTCATGCCAATAATAATCCTAGTCGATCTTCCAATTTTCATGGCTCCAACAATGCTACATGTCAGCTATGCGATCAACGGGGCCATACAGCGCGACATTGTCCCCGAACGCGGCCTTACACCCCATCTGCACCCATGATCAATCACACTACAACTCACTGCTCCTCCAATCCAAGCTGAATTGTTGAATCTGGATCCTCCCGTCACGTGACATCCGACCTCAGCAATCTTTCTCTCCATCATGATTATAAAGGTTCTGATGATATTGTCAGAGATGGTTCTGGGCTTTCCATTATACACACCAGTTCTGCCAAACTTTCTATCCCTTCCACTTCTTTTAATTTATCAAATGTCCTTTGTGTTCCTTTTATGAAAAAAAATCTATTATATGTTTAACAAATAACATGTCCATTGAATTTTTTCCCTCTTTTTTTTGTTGTAAAGGATCTCACCACAGGGGGCACAACTTCTTCGTGGGATGAAGAAGAATGATGTCTATGAATGGCCAGCGCTTACGGGCTCCTACCACTACGGGCTCCTACCACTATTTATCACGTACTCTGGTTGGGGTTGCAGCTTCTTTCACTAGTTGGCATGGGTCACCTATCTTCCAAAATTTTGCGACGTGTCATCACCACCCAGTCTTTACCCGTCTCTACTAAGCCTTTGAAGGAGTTTGTGATTTTTGTCATTGTAATAAAAGCCACAAGTTACCCTTTGGCATTTATGTGATACTCCTGAATTTTTGAATACGGGTTGGCCAGATCCACGCCCGAATATTCGAAGATATCAAAAACAAATCAACAATAATTAAACATAGAGTACAAAAAAATAAAAAATAAATAAATAAGATGCTGAAAAGAAAACTAAATTTGTGGGGAGGAAAAACCCCACTAATCACAACACACCACGTGGCAGCAAAAAAGTAGCCCACAACCAAACTAAAATAAACCAGGAACCCACAAACAGTTGGTGGCCCAACAATAGAAGCCATACGCGCATACCAGTTCAGCCCAATTAAGTGAAAGAAGCTCCACTTAACATAAAAGTTAAATGGACGGTCCAGTCTCAACAAGCCCAAAAATCCATAACATTTGCCATAATGATATACGCACGATTAATAGGTATAAATACCTACGTTTGAGAGTAAAGGCCAAGAAACGGCTCCATGTAAATCTCTAAGAAAAGCTTATAAATAGAGCCTGAATGAGAACGAAGAGGCATTGAATTCCAATCATTGTTCTTTTCTTCAAAAATTGCTTTTACTTCACTAATATTCTATGCACTTCTTTTCAATTTATTTCTTTAAGTGTTTGGGCGTAAAAATTTGCACCTACACTTTAGTGCCGTCTGTGGGAATTCGATACAAAAATCCATTTTTCTACTACTTACAAGCGACTCAAATCCAGAATGCCAATAGGATCAGACATCGCATAGCCTCAACCACTAGAGACCATGCAAAAAATACGTGAAGAGATGCAAGTGCAACTTGACATCCTTCGACAAGTCAACGAAGGCAGTACTGAACAGATCAACGCACTGAGATAAGCTCAGGAAGCCAACATGGTGCAAATCAATACCCTACGCGAGGAAAATGAAAGACTTCGGGGGAACGCTCGACGGAATGATCCTCCGATCGACCTACCGCCAGAACGGTGTCCGATCAACCTACCGCCCGAAAGACCGAACGAAAATCCTCCTCCGGAGCCCCGTAATCCCCGATAACCCTCCTCTCCAACAGAGGGTCCCGCGACAACAGCTCAACGAAACATTGGATGATGCCAACGATACAACAAGCCAATCCCGCATGCATCATTGGAAACTCTAGCATGGGAGGACCCCGAATCGCTAGGGTACACCCATCAGATGATACTAATTCAGGCGGGAAGGAAGTTTGGATCTCAGTGGCTGATCAACCCTCCTCAGGAAGTGACTTTATCGCAAGGTTCTGAAAGGAAATGGACGAGCGAATCAAAGGGCTTAAAGCCTAAACACTCGAAGATATGGCAAGGGAATTCATTGCATCAATAGTGAAGACTCTTTTTACCGATGGGATAGAACGAGTCGTGAGACCAAGGAAATTCGTGATCAAAGTTCATCAAATTCAATGGAACTAGAGACCCTCTCCAGCATCTAAATCATTACACTCAGGAAATGACACTGGAAACACACAATGATCCATTCATGTTCAAAATATTCCCATCCAGTTTGACGGGGTGGCCCTGGAGTGGTTCAAAAACTGCCCATGCAAGTCAATTCTAAACTTTGAATCACTGTGCGTAGCGTTTCTAGCCCAATACTGTGGAAACAAGAAATAGAAAAAAACCATTGCCAGTCTCTTCACGATCTGACAGATGAAGGGGGAGAGCTTGCAAGCCTTCCTTACTCGATTCAATATGGAGTCCTCCGGCATTCCAGATTGCAACCAGGATATGGCGATAGAGGCGTTCAAGATAGCCATGGTGCAAGTCTCACGTTTTCACTCCTCTCTGGTAAAGAAAACTCCGACTAACATGTCTGAGCTGAATTCGCGAGCATAAAACTATATCAGACTCAAAGAAAATGAAGTAACCGGGCAGCAAAGGGCAACTCTGGTCACTGTGGAGAGCAGACCAAAAGAATGACCGAGCACGTCAAGAGTCTATTGAGAACCTTCGAACATCGAAGGAAGAGCCCCTGAGAAGAAATCTTGAACAGTCTAAAAGGTCACACCACTCAAAGTAACGCTGGCCAGATTGTATCAAGAAACTAAGGCGGGAAACATCTTCCAAATCCCACATCCGATCAAACAACCAATGGAGCAGAGAGACCAAAGTAAACACTGTGCGTTTCATAGTGATTTTGGCCATTTAACCAATTATTACAAAAGCTTAAGAAGGTAAGTAGAGGCATTAATAGCCAAGGGCAAATTGGCAGAATATTTGATTAACCCGGGAAAGCAGAGGCAGCATGAGTGAACCCGGGCAATTCCAAAAACTACGAAGGAAAATCATCCAGTCCGAGTAATCAATACGATTCATGGCCGTCCAGAGGACGAACAACCAGAGAATTCTTATAGGATTCAGCTCAAACCAGCCCATAAGTTATGAAAGATTAGCAAGATCAATGCTGTTGGCTGTAGACTTAACCCAACATAGGTTTCTTTTCAAAAGGAAGATCTTAGAAGGGTACAGCACCCACACGAAGTCCCATTAGTGAACAGCCTGCTAGTAGCCAATTGTTTGGTCAGACTAGTACTGATTGACCCAGGCAGTAGTGCAAACATTATAACAAAGTGGACTTTCGACCAGTTAAAACTAGCCGCAGATTAAATTCGCCCCACCAGGAACCCCTGGTAGGGTTCGACAGCAGAAGAGTGGAGCCCATAGGTGTAATCACACTATCAGTCAAAGCGGCCAAAAAGATCCCTGAAAGAGAATTTTGTGGTTGTGGATATTTATCCAACCTACAATTTACTAATGGGCCAATGAGGGATCCACCGTATAGAAGGGGTCCCATCAATTCTACATTAAGTTATGAACGGAAGAGAGGTTATCGATATTTAGGGGGATCAAGTAACAACAAAGGAATGCTATCACATAATAATCTG